GGCAGGATCTTCCTTCCTTCTTTCCTTCCTTTTTCTCTTTTCTTCTTTTTCCTTCCCTCTCCTTCCTTCCTTCCTTCTTTCCTTCCTTCCCCTATTACCTTTTTTCCCTCCCATCTTTTTCTTTGTCTTTCTTCTTTCCTTGTCCCTTCTTGTATGCTCAAAGGGGAAACATTTCTCAATGCCTCCTTGCCTTGTAATCAAATGGCACTTTTGCTAGTAGTTCCTTTTGCTAGCACCTGCCAGCCTCCTCCAGCATGCTGCCAGCCACCACCAGATTGTAGATCAGAGCCCAGTGGGCTGGGTCAAGACACCACGGACTGGTCCTTCGCTGTTTCCAAGGTGAGGCCCAGATCTAAACACCACATGGCCCATGGGCCTTGAGTTTGACACCCCTGCTCAGATACCATAACTGAAGTTTTCAGTGATTTTTCCTGAACATAATAGAAACCCTTTCAGGCACCCCGGCTTCATTTTATCAATTCTCATGCTACCTGCATATTATAGTACTGTACTAATAATACACCATTTTAAATTGCCTGAAGCCATACATGTCAGCCGCAAAGAATCAAGACCCTTTGTAAGGTTACAGCATTGAAGGTTTATTCAGGCATACACATAAGACCCTGGCCAACTGAAGTTCAGCACTAAATCGGTGTCAGATAAGGGTCAACAGAATTCAGGGATCAGGGATCAGACTTGCAGGGCTTGTGGGAACGCGAAGACTCTAAGTTGATGGTGCCCTTCACTCCGCCTCCAGCGCTGCCCGCTCTTCTCCTAAATGCATAATTTTATATTCTCCTGTTCCATGCGTCTATAGATTCTAAAATCCATTACTGGAAGAGTAAAGTACTGGTTGCATTCTCTGTTCCATTTCATCTCACCCTCTGTTTCAGGAGAATTGCTTTTTTCATAGCTTTGCGAAAATCCCAGGAGTATATTTCTTCCTTTTCATTTTTTGCAACTGGTAATAGAGTGGCACCCTGTGTTTCTAATTGCTATGAAGAACGCCTTTGCTTTTAAGTTTAAATCTGATACATAGCAATAACAGCAAGAGAACCTTTATGCATTTATACGTGCCTATTGTTACTAGAAATCAATGAACAATGTTGACTTTTGACAGTGTTTCCTGCGATCAATGTTTTCATCCAATTAAATATAAATATTTTGGTTAACTCTGATTTCAGTCAACCTTTATTAAACAATAAAGGTTTTTTTATTAAATGAATATTAATTACCCATATGTGAGGCTGTTTTCCTTGGAGCACATTATAAATGACAAATATATCAAGGACCGCTTGTTAAAGAAGATATCTCTCTTTGGCTGCTGACATTTAAATAATTATTTTGATTGAGCCAAGATGCACATTTCTGTTAAAAGAGGCTCTATGAATGTTCACCCATAATGGGAATAATATAGAAGACTTGGCACTTTATAGTCTGGACCAGAAAATAAGATATATTATGGTAAAGGCATAACCTAGGATTTATCTAAAAATCTTGCATTGTGCCATTTTTTAAAACAAAAATAAAGGGAATTTGGAGCAACACAATTCAGCAGGAGTAAGATAGAATGGAAAGGCATGCTGTGGCTAAGATGCTGAGCTTGTCAATCAAAAAGATCGGCAGTTCACCAGTTCGAATTCCTAGTGCCGCGTAATGGAGTGAGCTCCCATTACTTGTCCCAGCTTTTGCCAGCCTAGCAGTTCAAAAGTATGTAAAAATGCAAGAAAAATAGGAACCACCTTTGGTGGGAAGGTAACAGCGTTACATGCGCCTTCGATGTTTTGTCATGCCAGCCACATGCCCATGGAGACGTCTTCGGATGGCGCTGGCTCTTTGGCTTTGAAACAGAGATGAGCACCACCCCTCAGAGTTGGGAATGACTAGCACATGTGCGAGGGGAACCTTTATCTTTACCATAAGGTAGAATGGATGCCAAGCTAATTTGTTACTCTGATTTACTTCTGCTATGGGACCTATGTATTTTTACAGCCTGAATTTCCCCGTCAAGGCAGTAGAAAAATACCATAACATGTTGCTTTCCCTTCATTGGAGGGAATACTGGTACAAGTCAAGTATTTTAGCCATTAAACCACCACAGGCATTACTTAGGAGATGACAAAGGAAAACCCATGATGAGTCTAATTGTGAGGAATCTCAAGGCAGCCATAATACATGAGGATTGTAGCAAAGAAATCTTATTTCGCCACCAACACTGCATCAGGCATTAAGCTGGCCATGTCCACCTTTTCAATTATATACGGGTTTATTATGTAGGAGATCTACTGTAAGGTCTGTTTGAAAAATATTTTCCTAAAAACATAGCTTGCTACAAACCAGGTCTCCATCCACAAAGCAAGGCCATGCTATCCTAGTGCAAACAAAAAGAACGAATTTGCACAGCCGATAACAAGAGTTCATTGGGCATAAATCTACTTCCTCCATTCCTGTGATGTAAATAACAAGGAAGCTAGCAATGATCAGGATTGGTGAGGAAAGCTAATTAGCCTGGCAGAGCTGGTTGTCTTGGAATTACCATATTACTTCATAGTTTGCCTATCTATCCTTCATTGCCGATGAGTAGCAGATGTCATGTTGTTTGTTATTGGTGACACCTCAGGAAGCAGAGCGCAGATAACAGATTTTCCATGGGCTGCTTGGCTCTAGTAAACAGTCCCTTTGCAGAGCATTTGCTAATGGTGTGGCTATGACACATACTGAGAAAGGAGGGAACATTGCTTAGGGGAGAAACCATGGCGAGAAAGGCTTATAGAGTATAAAATAATTCCTATTCCTAGATATCTAAATCAGGGAGTAGTCAGTATTATATCATCTTTAGTACAAATGTAAAAAGCATGGAAAGAGTAAGCTAGTAGTAAAGAATACTCCCGACTCTGCTCATTTTGAAGTTTCTTGTGTAGACAGAAAACAGTTAAGTCAAAGAACCTTAGAGTAATCTGAGTGAGTCAAGTTGGATGAGATGGCATATGCCAATCAATAAGTTTCCAGTTGATACACTTGTTGGAACATAAAAGAGAAACTAAAGTGTTATTTAATTGTATTTGATTCTTCCAAAGGCAGGTTGTGGAAATACATGTAGGAATTCTCTGTAGAAAGCTTTTATCCTTTTCTTAATCATTCAGAAAACTTGGAAGTACCAGTAGGATTTATAAAATAAAGATGTTGTGCTTCTCACTTTTCTTTCTTGCATTTGGAACATAAAATGTCAGTGTATATCTCCCCACAGCCACTTAAAAATGTCTCACAGAGCTAAGTAGTAAACCCAGCAGATTTGCATGTAGACGCCTATATTTCTAAAATATTTTCATTCCTGATGAGCAACATGATAGCTGTTTGAAAAACACACAACTGCATAAATCACAAGTGCAATCAGAAGTGAAAGAACAATAGCTCCCTTCTTGGTATTCTAATTAATGCAAGACAATCCTTATTAGTATGGGGAGAGAAAATGTGTGTATGTGTGTGTGTGCGTGTCTCTGTGTAGGCTTGACTCAGATTGCAGTTATAAATAAGGGATATCATCTTGTTAAGTATGAGCTGCACCAAGCTTTATGTGGAGTCTTTCATCACAACTATTGCTACAACAAGCCCCCATATACAATTTTGAGATAGGGAGTCCTTTTGCTTGGATGTACCTCCATATTAATGATATTTCTTGAGAATGTAATTCCATAATCAAATATTTTCCTTGCCTGTCAATTGCTTTACCAGTTTCCAGTCATGGCATTCTCTTTTTTGGTAAAGATAAAACATGCAGCCCCTTCCATATGTGATTTTGTGGGGCTCAGTAAGTGTAGCTAATTAACTATTGCTCCAGAGAAAAAGCTGCAAAAGATAAGTTGGCAGCATTTTTTGGAGTTGTGCAGCACATAGTTATTACCACCCTCTTGTCCTTCACTGTTGCCATGAGGTATGGCTTTACTGCTCTCCTACAGATTGCCAGGAATCTAGTATTTGTTTTCGTTTTTTACATGAAAATAATTTTGCAGCAAAGGAACAACCAAGAAGCGCAAAGCTTAGCTAGCTGCCATGTTTAGCACTTTCCTGTTGACTACCTGGCTGTTTCCTGGAAAAGGGAAAATGAAGTTGGTCACCAGATGCTGAAAATGGTGCTTATAGTTGTAAGATAAAGATTCTACTCTCATGTATGTGCTAGTCGTTCCCGACACTGAGGCAGTACTCATCTCTTTTTCAAAGCCAAAGGTAAATATAAAGGTTCCCCAACATATGGGCTAGTCGTTCACGACTTTAGGGGATGGTGCTCATCTCCATTTCAAAGCCAAAGAGCCAGCGCTCTCCAAAGATGTCTCCGTGGTCATGTGGCAGGCATGACTAAATGCCGAAGGTGCATGGAACGCTGTTACCTTCNGTGTTTTTCCCACGGCACACCTTACACTATGTCACGGCACACTAGTGTGCCGTGGCACAGTGGTTGAAAAACACTGATCTAGATCACCATCACACTTAACAATAGAAGGGTGACCCGAACTTTCACCATTCTTTTAGGATGGAAGATAGAGCACAAAAGCAAGAATCCTTTCAAATAAATGTCTCTGTTAGAACGGAGGGGAAAGCTGCTTCTGAAAGAGAAAATGTACTGATTTTGGTTAGTTCAACCTTTCCCATCTTTCTGTCTTCCGCGTCTGGTGAGACCACAACTTCCAGCTTTCTTAGCCGCTGCACCATAGCTGCAGGACACCAGGCTAGAAAAAGGCTGATCCCGGGCAGGCTATTATGACGACAAGGTTCCCTCTTGTCCTCCATGCTCAATAACGGCAGGAAAACTAAAGCAACGCAAAGCGCACGCCGATCCTCTGAGCTCCACAGGTCGCTCAATAAACGAAGCTTGTTCCAGGGCGCGGTCGAATTGCCCGCGGCAGCCCGGCTCCGAGGCATTTTAACGGAAGAAAGAGGGTGTCACAGCCGCGTGGGTGGAGACAGGCAAACCGGGTACGAGCTTCCTGTTCTGCCTCGTTTCCTTTAGCGAGGAAGGGCTGCAGTCGCCCTTTGCCCGGCCTGTGGCGGGGATGTCATTTCGTGTGACCGGCAGATGGATACCTGTTGCACAGGTGCGAAACCATGAAAGCCGCCCAGAAGCCGGGCCAGGAGCCGGTTGCATCTCTCCCTGCCCGGTCCTCGCTGCCCAAGCTGCTCTCCGCCCTTTTCTATGGGACCTGCTCTTTCTTGATCGTTCTGGTAAACAAGACAGTGCTGACAGTGTACAGGTGAGATCAGAGGAGGAAGGTGTTGCGGCAAACCTGCTGGAAAGCGGAGCGGTCGGGCTTCAAATCAGCCCAAAGCTACGCCTGCCTTCCCTTCGTCCCTGTCTCAGCTGAGGGGGCTTTTCCCATCGAAAAGCGATCGGGATTGGAATGGTCCGTTGTCTTCTTTTCCCGACATTTTCTTGAAGCGTCTTGGGGCTGCCTCCTCGTTTTCTGGAGGATTTCTATGCGCAGCCTCGAAGAGAGAAATACTTCTTTAGGATTGTCTCCAGCTTTTTCCAAATTTACCGGTGCATTTTTTAAAAAAGGTGGTTTTGATTAGTGGCGCGAGAAATACGAGCTGCAGTCACACAGATTCTGGGTCGGACTCGGAAGGCTGAGTCCAAAATTCTTGCTCAACTCATAATACACTTGAAGCAGACCGAGAGGAGAATTTGGACATGCATTCTTCAATCACAGTTGTTTAGCCAAAGCTTGACTGTCCAGATCTGAGTAATATTTTAGCTAATGGTAGTGAATAGATACATTTACATTCTTTCTTGCCATCTAGTGGCTGTCTGGAGTTTTGTAACCTGTAGTCCTTACCAACAGTAAGGGCTTTTGTGATGAAAACAAATATTTCATTTATTTTTACAATTATTTCATTACATCAATAAATTCAACATTAAGCCAATTTATTACCAGTCTACAATATTATTGTAACCCCAAAACAGGATCTTTTCCAGGAAATGTATCTCAAAGTGGTTACAGTTTACCATTAGTTGCTCTGGATCTCAGATCCAGGTCCAGAGTCCTGTGATCAGCCAGGAGGAATAATTTGTGTCATATATTTGAAAATTAATTACAAAGTTGGTAATTTCTACACAGAGGCTATAGAAGCTGAATGCCAGTGGACCATTAAAAAATCCTGAAGTACAAACAAAGTAGCTCTTCTCCAAGCAGAAGAAGCATTTTTGCTAGCCATTTTTGGAGCCATAATTTTGCAGTTGAGATGGATACATCACACCAAACTATGTATGTGCTCCAGAAATATTTTTAATTCTTTCTGGCCATCTAGCAGTTACATTGATTCTTGTAGTCCAGATCTTGTGGCCCTAATTTCTTACGGGCTTACCACAACTCATGAATTTTCTATAATTGTTGACAGTTGTAATTCATGATTTATGATTTATTATGTTGTGTAAACTTGGCTTTTTTGCACAAATACATTTCAGACACATAGACACCCCCCCCCTCCAATTTATCATCCACATTTAGAATTTAAACCCTGCTCCAGCAGCAAGGATTCAACAACAACAAAAAAAGATAATAACTAGCCCAGATGAATAAGGACTTCAAGTTTGGCACAAACAGATCAAAGACCAAGTCCCTTACAAGCCAGGCCATATTTCCAGACAAGTCAGGATCCTGTGCAAGATTGTACAGTATATTGTGCTGTGGGAGGGCTCCGAGGCCAGTACAGTTGGATAAGAAATGTGATATTAACTCTGGCTCCAGCAGATGGAGCCTGCAGGCCTTTAATGAAACAGATTGGCATAAGGAAACAGGTCTATCAAATGGCACATGTATAGAATAGAGAAGAGTAGCTTCTTTGCAAGACAGACTCCTGGAATTGATTAGCAGCAAATATTAATGTTATTGTATCTCTATCTTTGTTGTTAGGTAACATTTGCCTCTTTATAGTCTGACACTTCACTTGCAGGTTTCCTTTTTTATTTTTTGCCTTTTAAAATAAACTTTTCATCATTCATTAATCAGTGGGTCGTCTGAGTACAAATTTTTTTAGTGTCATAATAGTTATAGTTTATCACCAAATTCTTTATATACATCTATTCTTATTTTAACATTACAACCTAACATATTGCCTGTTATAACATTTCTCTTCCTAAATTATTTAATTTTATACTTTTTATCCATATTCATTTTCTAACCAATGATAAAATAACCCCCATATGTTATAATACTCAGATTCTTCCTTTCCTTTAATTGCTAGTTTTAATCTACACATTTCTGTACAATCTAATATTTTCTTAATCACATTTTCATCTTTAGGGATCCTATTCTTGGCATTTTCCTGGCTGTTTTTATTGTATGGTCTTGTATAGCCTTGATATCCACAGCTTTTTAAAAAAAACATGCTCTTTATTATTTTGTTTCTCTATAACAGGGGTGTTGAATCCTGGCACTTGTGGACCTGTGAACCTTAACTCTCAAAATTCCCCAGTCCGTGATTCTTAAAGTTGCCAAGGTTGCATACCCCTGCTCTATTATTTTGTGTAATTAGAAATATAGGCTTGATTTGCTTCCAAAGTGCATATTGTGTGGATTGCATTACATACAAGAAATCCATATGTGACTGTTGCGTTGGATAATCTTTTTTTTTTGTTTAAACAAGTTACAGATATTTAACAATTTAAATTTTGATAGATTCTGATATGTGCATGTTTGCATATATGTGCCCCTTCTTTCTAAACTAAAATATACAATAAAATCACAGACTCACACAAATACATGCGTGCATAAACAAATGTCACTATTTTCTTTCTAGATTCCCATCTCCAATGTTTCTAGGAGTAGGACAGGTATGTTCATAGATAAGTGATTAAATGGTATATATTTTAATTTACAAATATAGGTTTTCCAGTGGTTGAAAGATGAAATGCAGATGATTTACTTCCTCTTGACAGAGTTTTCTTTGCTTACACCCCTTTCAAGAGCTTTTATAAAGTAGAATTGTAACAGGGATGGGTCAAATTCTGGTGACTGAAACAATGTTAGTGTTTTGGAGGCTCAGAGAAAGGTAGGTGTCATGAAAACAAAATGAGCAGGGTCAAGATTTTCCTTGAGAGGGGGGATTTTTCTTTATTTTTGTAAACAATGCTAAGATTGTTTACAATCCTAGATTGTTTAGGATTAACATTTTTAAGCATGATCTAATTTTTTTGAAATCTTCACGGTTGAAAAAGAGCACAAAAATGTATGAGAACTCCCATGCAAGTCAAACGGGGGTTCTGTAGCCATAGGTTTAGTTTGCAAACTGAGTGTTGTGTGGGGTTATTAAAAACAAAGCAAACAGGTCTTCATAACCAGTACAGTATCTATAACCCACCGAAGCTGCATAAGGAAATATTTTGTTGCTGTGTGTGATTGTTTCCTCTTTCTTTTAGATGGTAACCACTATTCTCATCTTATATGTGTCAAAATTAAACAAGATCATTCATTTTCCTGATCTTGACAAAAGCATCCCTACAAAGGTAAGAATGATTAACTCCTTGCATGGGTTTTAATATTGCCAAGTGAAAAAATGTTCTTAAATTCTTTTGGAGCATGCACCTGATTCAGTTCTGTGCTTATATAATCAACGTGTTAGGGCATTAATTCTCTAAGGTTAATAAGGAGAACTGTACTGCTTTTTTCCTAATGTTATTTACTTTGTTAGAAAGAATTCAGTTACTCAAACTAAGTCCATGGTGTTTCTTCAAGTTGTTCATCAGCATTTCCCTTATAATACTTATTGAAATATGCAAAATAATTAAGTATATTCATTTTTCCATTTGTTATGTTTGAATTCCAACCAGTCCATTTCCTTTAGTGCTCAGTCACCAAATTAGAGCTAAATTAAACATTAAATTAGTTGTTAATTTCTGCTCTAAATGCAAGGTGTGGGATCTATGGTAACAGTGCTGAAAAGTCATCCTCACCTCTGCCAGTGTGATTATACATATATATGTATAATCACACTGGCAGGTTTGTGTGTGTGCGTGTGTGTGTAGGTATGTATGTATGTATGTATGTATGTATGTATGTATGTATGTATGTATGTATGTATGTATTNTCCCAGTAAGGGTATGGCTACCTGATGAGAGCTAAATAGCTTGAAATAGATCTATACTAGTCTCCCTTTATTTATTTATCAGCACAAATACAACACACACACACACACACACATATATATATATATATATATATATATTGTTTTTACATTTAAAACAGTGCAGCACCCCGAAGTTGTAGTGACCATACAATCATGTTATATACATAATTGGATAATCTCATTCAATAACTGTTAGCCTGCTTAATACATTATCTATCCTTCTTTCCGATCACATTATTTACAGTGTGTTCCAGTCTTGTCACCTTGTCTTATACCAATAATAAAATCTGTTCCAAACTTCAAAATATTCCGATTCCCCTTTGTTTGTTTTTTTAGTTCAAGGGTGAGCCTATCTGCTTCCGCGCAGGGCAAAATTTTCCTAAATGTATCTTACTCTAGTGGTGCATTTTCTTTTTTCCAATACTGCACATAAGTTATACGCACCGCAGTTAGTACATGTATAATTAGATAAAGCACGTCTTTCTTCTACCCCTCCGGTATTCCTAGGAGAAACATTTCTGGTTTGAACAAAATTTGATCTCCCACCATTTGTTCCAATCATGATTGCATCATTATTTTTTTTTGTATCAAAAAAAAAATTCGTGCATACCCATTTCTGTACCAAGTCCCTTCTTAGCAAACCGGTCGGACTTTACTTGGGGGGTAGCACAACTTGAAGTCACACAAGCAGGAATTCAAGGACAATAAGATAAGTAAGCTCAGAGTTCCAGCAACTGCCAGCATGAAGCATAAGCCCTATTTATACTGCAATCAAAGTTCAACCTTTGATTCTCCCTCCTGTGTCCTCCCTCCATTACTGAAGAACCTTTAAGACAACCTCACATACTTTGAGTTCCATGTGCACTGGGTGCTAGTTGGCAATGTGATATTATATAATACTAATGGACGTGAACCTAAATGCTAAATGGTAACTCTCGTAACCGAGTAGTGGTGGAGTACACTGACAAACACAGATCTGTGGAAGTATCAGAATTTTTGAAATCGCTGACCTTTATGGCGCACGTCTATGCAGGCACCCCAAGCAGAATGAGGGGAACACTTCATGCAGAAAACGTATAAGGACATTAACTTGACAAGCGCATGCATTCAGGAAACGTTGAAGGGACGAACCGCTGATGGACTGGGTGCCGCCTGATGCAAATACTCTGAGGACGTAAGTAAATAGGGTTACATAAAGTAGCTGGATGAGGCTATGAGAAAAAGAAAAACTTAACACGCTGAGGAAAGAAAATTTACACCTCGGTGTAATTGAAAAGGATCTTTATTCAGAAACTTGTTTCAGTAGCTACCCTTCAGGAGGGAAAGATATTGTTCTGATCCAGGCTTCCTTGGAAAGCAAGAAGCAAAGACTTGGTCCCCGCACAACCTCTTTTATTTACACGACTGTGAATTCCTTTCACTCACAGTCTTTCAGAGGAATGTTTATCCACACGCACCTTATCTCGTTTGGTTGCAAAAATCTGGCAAGAGAAAAATACAGAGACAGCTAGTCCTTGACTTCCGACCGTAATTGGAACCAGAATTTCCATTGCTGGGCAAGGTGGTTGTTTGGTGAGTTGCGCCCAACTTTGTCATCTTTCTTTTAGCATGATTGTTATCATGCGGGCGTTAAGTGAATCCAGTTTCCCCTATTGCGTTTGCTTGTCAGAAGGTCGCAAATGGGGATCAAATGACACTCGGGTGCCACAACAGTTGCAAATATATGCCAGTTGCCAAGTGGTCCAATTTTGATCATATGACTATGGGGAATGCTGTGACGGTCACAAGGACGAGTATCTCTTGTAAGTGACTTTTTTCAGTGCCATTTTAACTTTGGACAACAGATATGCTATGTATGTATGTATGTATGTATGTATGTATGTATGTATGTATGTATGTATGTATATATGTATGTATTGTGTCACAACCCCTGGTATGCCCAAATATGGGAGGGAGCATACTGCTTCCCTTTTCTGTCTATCAGCTCACCCTATGAGCCATCCAGGCAGAAAGCCATTTTTTTATGTTGCCTTGTTACATTTGTGTTGCATTTGTGCTGATAAATAAATAAATATCTTAATTCGGTTTTAAAGGCCGAATGTAGCTTTTTTGAAGCTGTTTTTCAGCCCTAATGCTAACGAAGTGATCTTCCATGCTTTGCCTGCTTTTCTCATTGCTTCTCTCTCCAAGAATCAGCTGTGCTTTAGTTGTTTTTTATCCCCAAGCAAGGGATAAAAAGCCCGCGCATGCGCACTCAAAACCAGCAAACGTATGTGCTGAAGCTGTCCAGACTAGGGACACTAGCCGGATGAATACCTGGCGGGCAGAATTGTTTTCCCCTATTTTCCTTTCCAAAACTGAAGTGCATCTTATACTCCAGTGCATCTTATACTCCGAAAAATACGATATGTGTGTATATATATTTCTATATTTATTTATTGTGGGTTGGTTTCTGAACGTTTCGTTACCAGGCTGGGTAACATCTTCAGCGGAGTTTAGAGGACGTCAGTGTTGGAAACATTCAGAAACCAACCCACAAATTCAGAGAATGAAACTTCACCCTCACCCTACACCCGAGCTACAGATATTCGCCACTATTACAAATATATACAGTATTTGATTTGATTCGACTCAGAGAAAAATGTGTTTCTTCTATGACAGACACTGTACTAAGAATTCTTTTAAAAACAAACAAACATGATAACATTGGTGGGGTTAAATTAATTGCCCAATATTATAACCCCGCCCCGCTTTGTCCCTTGGCAAATATTCGCTCTGTTGTTGTGTTGCTGAAGCTTTTGCTTTTGGCCGCTTGCTCAAAACAAAGTTCACGGGAAGTTCAGAAGGAAAGAATTTCTAAAGAAACCCAAATATACTACGCTAATAATGTGGAGGGATGACAACAAGATGACAAACCATAGTGGGTTGGGGGAAGGGAAGAAGGAGTGAGGGAGAGAGGGAGAGGAAGGAGGAGACAGAGATATAGAAAGAGACAGAGAGGGAGAAAGAGAGAGAGAAAGGGATGGAGGGAGAGAGGCAGAGGCAGAAAGAGATAAGGAGAGATAGGGAGAGGGAGGGAGAGGCAGAGAGAGAGAGAGAGAGAGAGAAGGAAACAGAGAGAGAAAGTGGGAGAAAGAGAGAGGAGACAGAAAGAAAGAAAGAAAGAAAGAAAGAAAGAAAGAAAGAAAGAAAGAAAGAAAGAAAGAGAGAGAGAGAGGGGAGGGAGGGAGGGAGAGAGGCAGAGGTAGAGAGAGACAGGGAGAGAGAGGGAGAGCCAGGCAAACAGAGAAGGAGACAGGAAGAGAGAAAGAGGGAGAGAGAGAGAGAGGAGACAGGGATAGAGAAAGAGACAGAGAGATAAAGAGAAAGGAGAGAGGGGGAGGGAGGGAGAGAGGCAGAGGCAGAGAGAGAAAGGGAGAGAGAGGGAGAGGGAGGGAGAGGCAGAGAAACAGAGAAGGAGACAGGAAGAGAGAAAGAGGGAGAGAGAGGAGGGGAGACAGGGATAGAGAAAGAGACAGAGAGATAAAGAGAAAGGAGAGGGGGGAGGGAGAGGCAGAGAGAGAAGGAGGCAGGGAGAGAGATAGAAAGAGAAAGAGAGACAGAGGAGACAAGGATACAGAGAGAGAGAAAAAAGAGAGGGAAAGAGGGAGAAGGAGAGAGGGAAGAATAGAGAGGGCCAGAGACAGAGACAGAGAGAATAATTAAGTGGATTGAAATTTTGCAATGTTGCATCAGCTCAGAACTGCTTAGTGGTGTGTATTTTTTTGTTCCTGCCAGGTTCAAATGCTTTCCATTTTAATATTGCAATTTTGCTCCTGGACCTTGATCTCGGCCACAGAAGATCATAGCAGAGACAACAGCTCAAAAACTTTCAGATAGAGAAAAGGGAGTTAAAGAAAAGAAATGAAATTAGAGGAAATATGTCTCTCTGAGATAAGCTTTTCCCGAGCATGATATAATGCAGAGATGTCTTTCTTTGAGGTCTTATTTTTTTTAAAGGTACAAAACTTTACACACAGGACTGGAGGTGAACTGATCTATCTGAGCAAGGTGTAAAAATATCCTGATGGACCAAGAAATGAGATTTGGCAGAAACAACATTCATCTCCTTCTATCTAACTCAGTTGTGGTTGTTTTTCAGAGATGAGTTTTTAAATGAAAAGAGAAGGGGAAAACAGAAGAAAGACACCCAGGAGCCCATGATGGGCTGTTAAAACTACAAATGGGACCTTTTGGAGCGTGGGGGCGGGGGGGGGAGAGACGTTGCACAATTTTAGAAGAACAAAAATTTCTGATCAGCCCTGGTAACTTCACTCTATTTCTTTCCTGGTTTGCAAATCGTTTCCTGGTTTGCAAGCCGGTCAGGATCGAACTTCGTGGCGGTGGGCAGAATCACCCTGCAAGCTTCGTCATGATGCCTTTTCTGAATCTCTCTATACCAGGATAAATAATTTTCTTGCAACCTACCCTTTCAGTCAATGTAACAGAATTAGAAATTGTATCTCTCCCCATCCCATTCTGATCACACTTAACAGTAATTATGGCACTTTCTCTCTTGACATGGGGAGACATTTCTGCAGCCTCTAATTTGACAGGCACTGTATTATTGCTCTCTGGATAAATTCGACAAGATGAAATATTAAGATATCCAGAAGCTAACAAAAGCAGAAAATGAGAACACTTACTAGTCATTAGTTGCTTGTCCAACCCATGATTAGTACATGCCGTTCGACATCCCATGTCTAGGGTAATGCTAAGTCTACTACATTGATACTCCAGCTGACACCCCTGAAGAGCTGAGTTGGTCTCTGTAGACATCTTGTTCCTCAAAAGAGAAGGACTACAATTAACCTTATCTTCTTGATGGTTTTCCCTGCCTCCAAACATGGAAAAACAGCTTGAACTTTGGAATGCTTTCGCAAAGGCTAGACAGATGGAATCCATTGAAAGTTATAGTGTGTTATCTTCTTTGACAGATTTAACAGATTAACAGAGTTTGAAGGGACCTTGTAGGTCATCTAGTCCAACCCTCCAGCCAAGCAGGAGACCCTACACCATTTCTGACAAATGGCAGTCCAATCTCGTCTCGAAAGCCTCCAGTGATGAAACTGCCACCACTTCCAAAGGCAACTTCTGTTCCATTGGTTGATTGTTCTAGGTTGAATCTCTCCTTGGAAAATAGTTGACCCCCTCCTCTCTGTGGCAGCCCCTCAAATCTTGGAAGACTGCTATCAGGTTTCCCCTGGTCCTTCTCTTCACTAGACTAGCCATGCCCAGTTCCTGTAACCATTCTTCATATGTTTTAATCCCCAGGCCCTTCATTAAAAAGCAGCCCACCAAAAGAAGGATGTTCTCCCATTATGTTCCAGGTGTCCTTCAAAGAGTTACGGCTGATCATTTCCAAGGACCTGACCAGGAAGAAGAAGAAGGTGACCAGGGTGATTCAGAGCAAAATCTCTCTGGTTCTGCATTCAAAGAGTCCACCACACGCTACAATGAAGGCAGTGGAGGCCAATGGCCAATTATAAATAATTCAAGGTAGCGAACACACAAAACTCACGATTGAAGGCAAATATATGTGTCCCAGGTAAAGTTGTAGGATCGAATCTGGGTTGGTCATTGGGACCAGAGGTTTAGCCTTTTGGGCTTTCAGACTGAAGAGCCATACACAACCACGCACAACATAAATATTATATATGGTGTTGTTGTTAGTTGCAAAGTCGTGTCTGACCCATCGCAACTGCATGGAGAACATTCCTCCAGGCCTTCCTGTCCTCTACCATCCTCTGGAGTCCATTTACGCTCACGCCGACTGCTTCAGTGACTCCATCCAGCCACCTAATTCTCTATCGTCCCCTTCTTCTTTTGCCCTCAGTCTTTCCCAGCATTAGGCTCTTCTCCAGGGAGTCCTTCCTTCTCATTAGGTGGCCAAAGTATTTGA